CATACACTGCTGGTAAGAATCTAAATTTGTTCACCCATATGGAAATCAATGCAGAGATTCTTCAAAAATCTAAAAATAAATTTATCATCTAACTCCAAGTTATTTACCCCCAAAATCCAAGTCAACATATCACAGAGATACTTATGCCTCAACTAAGTTATTATACATATCCGAAACCAGAAGAATGAATAAAGAAAATATGATATAGATGTGTAATGTAATTTTTCATCAAAAAGAACAAAGTTCTATCATTTGTAGGAAAATGAAAGATAAATGGAAAAAATTACATTAAATGAATTTAGCACATCTCAGAAAGACAAATATCACATTTTCTTGCATATGTTGTGCCTAGATTTTATATACATAAAATCATGTGTGAACATATGACATTAAAGTAGAAGAAAAACTGTCCAGGGGAACCTGGGAACTAACAGGAGGGGAGACAGGGGACAATAGGGAGAGTAGGAAGACATGGAGGGCAATATGCCCAACGCTTCACATACAGCTATTTGAAAATGTCACTATTAAGCACAATGCAATGTACAATGAAAACACCCAATGAAATTTTTTTTAAATGAAATATTGAATTTTTCAAGCCAAAAGAATGATTGTAATCCAATGAGTTGCCCAAGACAGGCAAGGTTTTTAAGTTTGGATATTTTCAAGTATTTCTGTATCCTCCTCAGGACATTAAGGGAACACAAGGATAACAGAAACATCTTCAAATAAACAGTGCCAAACCTTACCAAGTTCCTTTTATTCTAAGAGCAGGTAAAGCCCATCATGTAGGGACTTATGTAGACGAAATAGGTAAGTCCTCTCCTCTTCAGTGAGAGCACGTGAGCAGATGTGGCTGTGAGAGGTGAAGTGCAGGGGAGCACAGTGGGAGGCTCCAGCAGCAAACTGAAGCTTTTGCCACCTGGTCACCCATAGGGAGCTAATCCCTGCTGAATGGTAATACTCAAGTTCTCAGTCTCTTTAGGCTTTTCTCAGTTAGCTTCTTGAGAACTTATTTTAAAATTTCATCTCGGCCAAAATCTAAAGCACAAAATTTTTTTCAGAAGTTACAACATGTGCTCAGTCTTGGCTCACTTTCTACAATGAGATTAAATGACAGTAGCCAAATGGAAACAAAAGAAACTATCATTTATTTAGAAAGATTAAAAACTTTAATAAGTTCTTATAAAATGTTAATGAGAAAAAAAGAGTTCCAACTTTGTTTATGCTTGGGCCATT